CACTTTGTCCATAGTAAATGAATCCTTGGTGAACTTAACCGAGGACCCAAAGTACTGCTGGGGGAGGAGCGATAGGAACAGAGCACCCACTAACTGCTCCGACACAATTGGCTCGCCGAAGCACTTGACGCTCTAAGCGTTGATGCGGTTCCGTAGGGCACTCATTGCCTTAAAGTGGTCACCCACATGGCGGTAGTCGGACGTAAGGGTGCCGACGAACTTAGTGAGGAGGCCAATAACACTCGCCGCGCTCGACTCCCCAAAATCACGTTAGAGCATGCGCCAGATCTCGGTGACAGTAACGGCTGAATCAATTAGGGACACGTTCAGCTGGTTAAGGTAGCTCTTCGGTAGGGTTTTTGACAAAAGTGAGCGAATCTCCACGTTTTGTAAATCCCTAAGGAGGGTGGCCTCCTGTAGGGATTCTTGCGTTAAGGTATCCGGTAGCGCATCCGGCACACCAGTAAGCCAAGACTCGTACGACACGTCACACACGGCACGCTTGGCGTTTTGGGCGTCAATGCGGGCCTTAAGCCAGCGCTTCTGCAGCTCACCACGGAAGGCGTCCATCCAGGTTTGGAAGTCCTCACGCTTGCCACTGAATACGAGGCGTTGGATGTCGGACTTGTCGGAGTTCATACTTGAAGTATTCAGATGAACGCGGGCAACACAGTGGTGGGGTTGAAAGGGGTTGGTATTAAGGTGCTCAGTTAAAGGGCAATTCCAAAGTGAACACAAGCCTCTGCTTCATCGCACCAACTTGATGCACTATTGCTAGCTATGACGTCACGTGGCATTAACGAGTGTCAAACGGAGAGCAGCCAATCCCTGAATAATATAGGTCTGTGTCATGCAGATCACTCAAGATACATCTACAGACGATGCTAGCCGCTCATTCCAATGTCGTGACCTAATGCAAGCAACACTACTGATGTCTTACTTTGTAAATCAGTATGAAACTTATCCGGAATAATTTACGGATAATATTGAATTAACACTGATATTCAACAAAACGCGCTCGTGGCTCACACTTCACTAAACTCGTCGAGTGCATCGACAGTCCACCAAAGCACAACCTTCTCTGACCAGTGACACAAGTTCTCATGTGTGAATGACCGATTATCCTTACTTCCATCAACCCGTTGCTTAGAACAGCCGTCATTCTCAACCGAATGGTCCATAGCGAGTCCATATACCTTAGCGAGTCCATATACCTACAGTATAACGACCTTGACCAACTAAAGCGCGGGTGAGCTTTGCTCCCCATTCTGTAAATTGACTGTGAGACCGTAATAGTCAGTCCATACATAGTCGAGCAGCTTCAGCCTGACTATCCAGGGGCAGGTTGGAATGACGGCCTACTATTGACTATAAAGTGCCGGAAGGTGGTCAAGGATCTCACAAGTGAATTCCACGTCATCACCGTCGTCCAAAATAAACTTATGCCTCCGGGTTCATTTCCGGATATGATAGTTATGAGGATTTTTTACCGTTTTACTGCTGGGGTATGACGAAAATCAAAATACAGGAACTGTAAAACGGTATTTTACAGTCTGATTATAGAGGGGGATGCCCTCAGGCTTGAAGAAAGTAGTGAAGCATATGTTGGGGGAATAATACTCACATCTATACAACACGTTAACCGTCACCAGCGTCGATTTGTTTCTGGGTAACAGTTAGACACGTTTAGAACACGTCCACACGATGTTATGCCTGGAAACGTCATGGAGTTACAGTGCAGTATTGGAGCTGGTACAACTGGAGCATTCGACCCAAGCTCAAATAGCGTATTTTTGGCGGCAACTGCATCTTCAATGCAATGGCTGCAGGTACAGCTGTACCATAAACCACAGCAGAAGATACTTTGTGCGTAGGCCAGAGTCCCCGACGAAACATTTCCGACGGCTTGGTTATTGGCAGAATCGAACATAACGTTTTATCGTTTTATTGATATACCGTCAAGCCAGCGACCACAAACAGCTTCAAGAACCCCGAAACGCCGAATGCGATTTAGCCGTCAAAATCTTTGTGGATTGGGTTACTGTACTGTGGGGGGAGCTGGGGGGTACACTGTACGATATGTAGCACAACGGCTTGGCCCATCCACGCAACACGGTTACTAGTATAGCCCTATACTAGTAACCGCGTTGCGTGGATGGGCCAAGCCGTTGTAGTATAGCTCGATTTTTTCAGATAGAAAGTCGAAGTCACATGCTACGGAGCGATGATGGCAAGGGCGAGCACTGCAAGGTACTGATTGTCAGATGGGACATGGTGGGTACAAATTCGACCAAGTACTGTACTAGTACTGCATGGGGTGAAATTCGCCCTTTTTCAGACTGTGCTGATAACAATAATTCCCTGGCTTTCGTAATCATTTCACTAGTTCTTATTATGTCATAGTCTAATGCAGTGTAAACCAACACAACACATTCCAGCTAGGGGTAAGTGCATTTCAGTAGTCAGCGATAGCTAGACACTGGTGATGCAACCCTAACCCGAATAATAACCTGGAGTTTTGAAGTTTCAGGGCTTCCTTCTGGTACTTTTGAAGGGAAATGATTCCCTAAGAAACAGTGGAACAGAGAATTCCTTGTGCTGATAATGCTATAAATTGAAGCCAATACCTGATTCCGCCGGCGGGACCGGCTCTTCGAAATGCGGGCGCTTTGGTCAGAAAAATACACATTAAGAGATATTGTCTTTATAGATATTAATTCAAAAATTCCTGATTGTGTCCACAAGGACCGGTACTGGTAGCTAGCTCCACACATTGATCGTTGATGATTTTCTTTACTTTGGACCTTTATGAAACTACTGTAGTACCAACCACGCTACAGCAAAGTGTCCACCGAATTTCTGATATGTGACATTGCCTTGATACAGTTCTGAGTTTGTTGAATCAGATCTTCACAAAGTTCAAGGTACTATGAGCACCCCGGAGAAGTGCGTCGAAGGATTCTACAATTGTAGTATTATGGAGGACTACTAACTGTATGTTATCGAAAGTTATTGTTGGTTGGGATGATACGGGCATATATATACGCAATACTACTTACGGTTAATACAATCGCGACCGTACGATTTCAATGTCTAGTACTGGTAGAACTACCATGGGACAGATTGTGTGGCGTGAGTTAATTGTACGGTAGTGTTGGTGTTCGCTGATGTACCCAAAATCTTGACGTCATGTGGTTGTAGTTATCACTGGCCGCGCCTACGCAATCTGGGATTATCAGCCAAGTGTGCTTCGGGGGCTGACTCTTATGTTCGATGCTAAATCTGATGTGTGCATCACCGCGATTCCGACCCCACGAAAACGATTCCTTGACGGCGGGGAGAAGTAGACTCATTATCAAATTCGCCCAGTCATGTTTACCCTCATCAAGCTTGTTTCTGTTGTGGCTGCTATCGCCTTGTCGGCCACGGCGGCGTCGTCCTGCCACCAACAGGCCAACACGATTGGCTCTGACCACGCCCTTGACCTTGTAGCCGCCAAGAACGAGCCGTTCAGCTACATCATCGAAGAAGTGGGCGCCACTTATATCGCCCCCCACTTCAACGAACTGTCGATTCCGGATGGGGGGGTGCTCGAAATCAGCGCGTTGGACGGATCGCAAAAGGTGCGGTACACGGGGGCGCGCTCGGACTTTTACGCCGAGTACGTTACGGGGCCATCGGCCGTGCTCACGTACTACCCCCCCCAGGACATCGTCATTTCCGTGGATATTGTCAGCGATGACAACTCGACGGAATCGACGACGGGGGGGCTCGATGCTGCGTCTGTAGCGTTTTCCGTTGACCGCTTTGCCAGTGGGTTTGCCACTGGCATTGAATCGTCGATCGAAGCCATTTGCGGCGCCGACAACTCCAAGGCGGCAGTGTGCTTGAAGTCGTCTGATGCCACGAAGTACACCAAGGCCCAAGCCGTGGGGCGCCTCTTGATTGGCGGGTCGTCGCTGTGCACGGGCTGGCTATTTGGATCTCAAGGCCACCTTATCACCAACAACCACTGCATTGGCACGGCCGCGGCCGCAGCCAAAGTCCAGTTTGAATTTGGCGCAGAGTGTGCCACGTGCTCGGACCCGAACAATCTCAAACAACTGGCATGCCCTGGCACGACCGTCGCTACGAGCGCGCAGTTCATCTACACCAACAAGGAACTAGACGTGACATTGGTCAAGCTCAACTTGAAGGCGGGCGTGAGCCTTGCCAAGTACGGGTACCTCCAAGCGCGGACATCTGGCCCTGTGCTCAACGAGCCCATCTATATTGCCCAGCATCCGGGTGGCAAACCTAAACGTCTCGCCACCGTTGTGGACAGCGGCGCCGTGGGCACGATTGAAAAGTTCAGCATTGCCTCCTGCTCCCCTGATGAAATCGGGTACTCGCTCGACACGGAAGGCGGGTCGTCTGGGTCGCCTGTGCTCAGCACCAAGGACAACTTGGTCGTTGGGCTGCACAACTGCGGGGGGTGCCAGAACGGTGCGACAAAGATCAACAAGGTCGTGGCCCAGCTCAAGAGCTTGGGTTTGTTGCCTGCGAATGCTGCCGTCGCCCGCAAACTTCCGTAAACGTTGTCGCATACTAGTTATCGCGTCGTCCCATGTCTTTCATAATCCAAAAATGTCCAAGTGCGCATTCTGTTCTTACGTGTTGATTTCTCTCATCGGTAGTCATCCCCATTTCGACACATTCCACCAAGTTAATACACAAACAAGCAAGAACATTGCTCTAAGAATATTCGCGATAGATGGAGCCTAGCCACAACAGTCCGTCACATACTGTAGTGGGCATTGCTACGTTTCCAATTGTACCAATGTGGCTAAAGTATTTATAGATATATAGTTAGTTACGATGTGTGAAAACTCATAGTTTTTCCATTAAATGCCGACCACACAGTGGCAGTAGTTGACTCGGCAATAAAGTCGGTTCTACTGTTTGTAAAGTCCCCCTATTACAAAATACAACGTTCGTTGGTGAATCGGCAGAATGTGTAAGAGCTACAAGTGGTGGTCAAACCCTTGGGTGGGGGTAAAGTCGTTGGTTTGGCGGTTGTGGGGGCTCACAGCGCTGTACGGGAAGTTGGCGAAGGGGTCACGGGGGGGGGCTAGTTGTAGTTGGCGAGGGAGTAGTAGAGAAAACCGGCGGGGGGGGGGTCACAGTTGTTACTGTAGTTGGCTGGTGGATCTTGGTGTGGGGCTACTGGTACCAGTAGTTGCGATGGCATTCGACGGCAATCGTCTTCAATACCTCGAATTTTCCCCACGATCTAATCGGTTTAGATTCAAGCAGCCACTGCAATTGGGCAGTGGGTATCACCGCGTTACCCTCGATACTCAACACGGGCGAGCCCCCATTTGTGTCCAGCGAGTAGGGGGTGCGATGCTGGACGAGCCGAGTGTCAGACATTTTCCAGCCCCAACAACTGGTACGCGTAGCTATGCTGGTTGATCTTGGTGGTGTCGGCTATAGAACAGTAGTGCGTAGTCAGGCCGACGAAAAACCCGGTGACACTGGGCTCGTCCAGCACTTCACCCCCCCACACCTCGCGGCACCGTCGCATGCCACGTCCAACGAAACGAAGCCAATGAGCCGTCGACACACAAATACCACACCGCGCAATTTACGTTGTGGTTTGCTCGTGCTCGATTAACCTTTCGTCGAATACTCACCGAATGGGATAGTGCGGCCGTACCTGGACGGACACTTGGGGCAATGTGGTCGACCATCTTGCTCTGCCCGACAAAACTAGTGTGGCATGGCAGGGAATTGGGCTCTATTGGGCTATTGTCACACCAGAACGTCCACACCAACACCCTCCAGACGTGGTAGGCCGATGTGTTGGTGGTAGTAAACGCGTTGTGAATCAGCAGCGACGGGACCAACCGCGTCCTTGAACTGCGCTATCGGTGGGAACAAGCACCCGCTGCCGCTGACTGAGACTCGGCGTGGCTTTTGAGAGACTTAAAGCTCGCCGCATTGTAAGGACTAGGATGTCCGGAAATTGGCAAGTGCCTTAATGTTCTGTCTTTCGTGTGACTGGAAGTGTGAATTTATATACCTGGTAACCTGGAACAGTGGAAGTGAAGGCACGCATGTGTACGAAAATTGCCACTCTGGCGTGAGTGGTTCGGCACTCCATATCCAGTCTAGTTCTGGCTCTAGACTTTCGTGTGTAAGTTTACAAAACTAGCACCAAAGTGCGAGAATCGTCGAAGAGGACCGTGATGAAGTCACTCCAGTGCTGTTTCGAGTCACTGCAGTGCTGTTTCGATTCACAGTCAACACACTCAAGATGTAACTTACCGGTACTTACATTTTGACCAATCACAGCAATGTCGGATGAAAGTGTCGTATTTGCAAAGTTACCCATACATAACATTATAGGCAAAAACTCCAACAAAGCAATCGGTGCTACACTACTACGTAGTACGTACCCCTTCGCATTTCACCGTGTGAACGATGACTACGTACCAGCAACACGACCAAAACCACCATCACCCTGCAAAAATAGCTCCAAATGATCCAACCAATCACATACCCCCATGCATAATAATCCAATTCCACAAGGTGAACGAACGATGCCACAACTAGCCGCCACGACGGTCATCCTCCTGTCCCTCGACCTCTGGCGCATTGTGACCGCATTTCAAACTGGCGTGTACCTTCATATGCAGCCGTTGGCCAAGCTGGCGGCTCTTCCCAAACACTACAGAAGCAACGAAGGCAAGATCCGCGACTGGATCCAGACATTGGACGCGGTGCTATCCCCCTGGTACGCCACGTACGGCACGTCTCGCATTGGGCTGTTGATACTCACGCTACCTCGCATGCGAGACTTGATGATCACGCACGCCGTGTACTTCAACGATGTGGACCGGTTGGCATTTCTGCACGCGACTTTCGACGTTCGACGATGCCGACAAAATCTCCTGAACCTGGCCGCAGCCCAAGGCCACGACGCGTCGGTGGCGTATTTGCATTCGATTGGACATCAAGGCTGCAACACAGGCGCGATGAACTTGGCGGCGCAATTTGGACATCTCAGAATCGTGCAATTTTTACACGCCCACCGCACCGAAGGCTGCTCGATTCGCGCAATGGATGCCGCCGCACGCGAAGGTCACTTGGATGTAGTTCAGTGGCTTCACTTTAACCGAACCGAAGGCTGTACGATCGACGCCATGGACGAAGCCAGTGCCCGTGGCCATCTGGAGGTCGTCCAGTGGCTCCACCAGAATCGTCGGGAAGGGTGTTCGTTCCGAGCTATGGACGCAGCCGCGGGCAATGGCCACTTGGAAACTGTGACATGGCTGCTTGAGAATCGCACCGAGGGGTGTACCCCCCAGCTGTCGAAGCCCTCCGATTTCGCCACTTGGACATGGCGGTGTTCTTGTCGACAAAGTACAATCTCGATCTAACTTTAAAGGGTGACCTTACTGGGCAGTCGCCTCCAAATGTGCCCCACTTTCGAAAAGTTGGCGTCGTGGAACAAAGACACAGGATAAGCCAACCGCTGTTGGCCGACATTCGATCGAAACGGAATTGGTCCAGTGATGACGACGAATAGTCGCCGTCGTGTGATGCCTTAAATATCAAAACTCGGAATGTCATACAACTGACTGTTATTGGCCGTGTATAATCTTGGTCGCGTCGATTCAATCAATACCGCGCAACGGAGTTGCTGCTTCTCATATATATTGGGAAACAAGCACACTTTTTGGTTCACTGTCATTAGATATCAGTACAGGGATATCAAAAAGCTAGGCACACTTCGCTGTAACATGACTGATCGTATATGAACGTGGTTGGTTGACTCGGGGGCTACACCAATCAGCCCCGCAGAACTGCAGCCACACAAAGTCGTGGTACATATTAGTATTTATTAATATTTACATGGGCACACAACTTGGACCAGTCGCCTTTCGAGCATTTCACTTGGACAATAGGGAAGACTAGGTCTCAGTTTTGCAGTGCCCTCCATGAGTTTTCCTGCAGGGCGATAGCAATCCCATTGCAGGAATTCTCTTGAGGCACGGTGGTGTTATCGGAAGCACATGGTGTCCGTCGATTCGGGGAAGTCCATACAAAGATCAATGGAAAAATGGAGGCGTAGGTGCCTCGCAACATTACAATGTATCCGATATCGTGGGGGGGACTGCCGGCACGTGGCTCCGGCATCGGTCGTGGTGCCGTCTCCTAAGCAGAGATAGGGAAACAAATATTTATACTTAGAAGTATTTATTTCAGTCAAAAATGATATGTATCCTTATTTCTGACGTGCAAGGGTCGAATCGCCCCCCCGGTGTATTTGTCTTATGCCGTGGTTTGTGCGGATCGCGGGAAACAACACCCTTCCAATACGAGAATTCATGACGCACTAGCGACCGTAACTTCATAGAATTGCTCTTAAGTGAAAACATAAAACAATTGCTTTATGTTCTATGAAAGATCAATTCACATAAAGTAATTGCTTTACGTTTCAGAGCAATTCTATGAAGTTACGGTAATCGGTGCAACATGTCGAGGTACTGTACAGCGACGCCACCGAGCTCCATATGCTGGACAAATTGAACGTGTAGAAGGGCAAATCCCGACGAGAGAGGAAATCGATTGGGCATTCGGTGAAGTGCACGATTGGGGCTCACTCCTCGCCAAGGCACCGCCTGCACAAATTTATACACACGACCTCCGCTACGCTGCGGTGCGCGCAATGTGGGCGGATGCTCTGTGGTCGCTCGCTACTGTAAGGCTAGGTCAATTCCCTTATGTTGTGATACATATGTGTCTCACCCCGATTTCTTCCCGTGATTCCCTAATCCTTGTGTGCACGAACATTTGATTCATTCCGCATGCACATTGGCATTGGTCCACACTAGCTGCAAATGGTGTAGTAGTGTTTCACCGTACTTGAATAGTCTTATCAATCCAGAAACACTCGTCCCTACAAAGCAGTCGTTACGCGGCACTTCGTATCAGTAAATGTTCGTTTTTGGTTCCAGAACCCCCTTAACGGGTTGGTCGCTTATTGGCTACAATTCAATTGATACCCGTTGACGCGAAAGAAAGCCCACTACAAGCGTCCGTTATTCTCGTATTGACCTCAACTACTGAAATGACCGTGCATTCTCTTGCCTCAGTGGCTACACCACGCAGCCCCACGACGACAGAGCACAGTTCTTCTAACGAGAACAACGTGCCTCAAATGAATCCCCAGCAACGGACTCGCCGGGGGAAACGCAAAGGGGGCACACCAAAATCAACTAGGCCAAACATTCGGAAGACAACATTGTTGCAGCCTGGAACTCTGGTTCAAGTCGTGTCCCCACGTCAAATGCACCACGACTTTGCGTGGCTGCAGTCTGTGAATCCAGGTAACTCAATACATGAGACAAGGATAAATAACAAAAGGGGGCCCGTAGATGGCTCGTACAATGTGTCCTATGTCGTGGGGGGGACTGACCGGCACGTGGCTCCGGCATCGGTCATCGTGTCGCCGGATGTGCTTGGCGCTCGCACCATGCGACGCAACCATTCGATTTGATTCGATGGGCGGGCAGAACTCGACTGTGTCGTTTATGCATATTCAGTAGTGTTGTGTGTTGGATGTAGGCTACCATATGACGGTGAACTATATGACCTGTTCCATTCGTTGGTCTAGTAAGGGAGGCAAAGGGATTGAATGGGCGGCTGTACTGTATGCGGGGTAGCAACTGAAAAGACGTCCAAATGTGGATATTTGTATCACCTTGCAGTCAACCTGGACATATAACGTTATGATGCAATCCGTCTCTGTAAACTACGGGTACTCATTCCAAATATTTGGTCAATTCGGAGGGCCACGTTTAATAGTTTTACGACATGCCGCTGCGCTTGTGTGCTGGCAGGAATTAGGTAAGCTTAATGTTGTGTCATGGCACTTCGCGCATGAAATATCCCTTGAGTAACTCGAAACAAACCAAATGTGTACGCCCCACCACGAGCCTTGAAACCCCGGTGCCCTGGAAGCTACATAGTTACGTCGAAGTGTAGTCGTCATTCTCCAGGGTGTGGGTCATCCCTCACGAAAATCTGAAGCAAGCCTACCTCCGCTACGCTGCGAAAGGCCGCGCACCTCGACTCAGATGCAGAGAACGTTCAAGGTGCGACGAACTCTTGGTCATAGTGGCGTCGAATGCGATTTCGCCTCTGTTGCAAATCAATTTTGCGTAGCGACTTGATCCCGTTTAGTGTTGTACTGAGAACATCCCGTTAACCGTTGCGAATAAAGTGGGCGCATCCCCCGGACAGACGAGCGTGCAGGGTGGGTGGTAATCGAGGTGTCCATATTGGACACCGCCATTCGAAAGCCTTCGACAGTCGACGACAACGAGAATTCCAACCCTCCCTTCCTGATGTCACCCCTCTTTTGAATGCGGTTACAGTGTATTGTAACAATCAATTTAAGAGCTTCAATCAATTTAAGACAAAATGTACATGAGCCAATGAAAAGACGTGAAATTTCCTTGAGCCAATGAAACGACGCAAAATAACCTAACCACACAATTTATATGCAAAGTGGTATACATTATTCAAGATATAAATATGCGTACTAAATTGATTGTTAAAATGAGATCAAACTTGCTTGGTTTTTGTTGATTTAGTCATTGGAAATACATCGAAACCCAATATAATTGATATGAGGTTGTTCCCCATTAATTCAGCTACAATCTCCAAGTTTCAGAGGTCGAAAATGTTGAATGAGCGGGGAGCTTTGGAAGTTCTCCCCAGCCGCCTTCCTCAGATGCGTCTTAAATTGATTGTTTAC